TGCCAAGATGGGAGCCAGGCAGGATCCCATCGTTGTATAACTTGCCATCAAAGATAAAATACGTATTACTCATGCATAGGTTAATAAGTCTATTTATAGAGCTTAAATAGCTTCTTGAACAGGAATGTTTGTGTACATAGACACGATATAAAAACTTACTAGCCTGTCCTCCTCTAAAAGTGTATGTAAATCAACAAATTTCACAAAATCATAAGAATTTTTAACTGAATACAACCTAAAATTGGCAGTTTTCCATAGTTGTATGTATAAAAAACGTGAGATTTTATGCAGCACGCTTCTTTTATTATTCAAAATTAATCTTAGAGGGACACCCTCCTCGTGAGCCTTAGAGAGACAGTAAGTCGTAGGGGCCTTGCATCTATCTCTCTGGAGTAGTAAATTCATTTTCCACTTCTCCGCTTCACCATTATTTACGCATACCTTTAGCCTAGTCTTAAGTCTTTCTGTTGGATCTCTCAATAAAGGCATATGTATCAGTTTCATCTAAATGAAATAGCAGTTTTTTATATAACTTGTCCTAGCCATGACTACCACTGCTCCACCTGTGTCGGCTATTATAACGATTAAAGTTATATTTGGGAGATCAAAATGAATTTCGAGACTAGCATTTATCAACTTGCTTCAAAAAATGAGACAACCATGAACGAAAAGATTGAATATTCCCCAGTTAAAATAGCCCAAGATAAATGTTATGGCAAGAATAATCCCAAAATACTTTGATTAAATTGATTTTGACTGGTGATTTAGGCATCAAGATTCACTAAGTGGCCTCGTGAGAAACTACTACCTAAGAATAAGATATATAAAATGAATGCCAAATTGTGGAGCAAACAAATAACAATCCAAGGCGCAAAGATAATGCTTAGAACAGATCCGCCATGCCAGATAAAATAAAGATAGGATTCTAAGAATGCCTACCTTAAGCGAATATGCAGAGTGAATATTTGACTCAAAACGGCGCTTTGGAGAAAATTCAGTTCCGAGCCTGTTGGATGACATACTGACTCGTTCACGAGCATCATTAGGATTGGTATATAGATCTGAAGAATTAGAATAGCCGTGGTGGTAACGATTAAGTTTATTAACTCCTTGCTCGCTTTGATGATGAGATGGGCTAATGGCGTGTGATCTAAAGGAAGAATTATCAGGTCTGGATGGCCTTGGTCGATCTATTAAAGAAAACGAACAGGAGTAATATAAGAGTTAACGGAATATATGCATAATAAGGATATAAGCCATACTTGTGCTCATTTTTTGAATGTGATGAGAAGTCATTGATCTAGAGTTGATAAACGGTGAAGAGTTTGTAGTAGAGCTAACTTCACCTAATTCACCATGTTTTCCGTGAGCTTGTCTTATATCGCGTTCTCGAGAACCTCGCTTTCCGTATGAATATGAAGACCGAGAATGGTTTCGTGCCGATCGTTGTCGTTCATCTGGTGAGGTGATATGACGTCTACGTGAGTTCCCATAGTTACTAGCCATCTGAGTATGGCCTCTTCTATTGACAGAATCATCATCACACAAAGAATTTTCATAACGCTGATAAGAATCCTCTCTCCTGCGCTGATGACGACCTGAAGAATGGCTAGGGTGACCAGAATTGAGTTCACGAGCTCGGCTTCTTTGCCACTCTCTTTGATACTTAAGTCTAATTACAGAAGTATTATGAGAAGTCGAATTTGTTTTATCTCCAAATGAGCTCCATTCACGAGAAGAAGAGCGGATTTGTGGCTGAGGGCGGCTTGGATGAGGAATAGAAGAAGCAGATCCGGAGGAACTACTGCACTTGCTTTGAGATCGAATGCGAGGTGATTGGCGTCTCATCGGCTCTTCGACGCATGATTCCCCATTCGAAAGTAATACATGACGTCTGCTAGATTGATTTCGAGAAGTTATAACATGTCGTTTAGCATTTTCCATCTTAGAAAGGAGAGAAGGATCGTCTCTCACTGGCGATGATTGAAAGCGACTAGAAAGTCGGCAGTTAGGATTTTGAGAAGCATTATCAGATACTCCACAATTATCTTCATTTTCGTCCGATATAGCATCCAGGTCCAATTTAACTCCTTCCCATACCAGATGGTGATGACTTGGGTCGCGAGAATGTTCTTCTTGAATAGTATGCCCAAACTCAGAAGAATACAAAGGAGATCCTGGCAAGGCATATATGGGACTAGCTTGTGAATGCTTGCAAAGGACAGAGTCTGCAACAACTTTTTTTGATTGCGCATCGCTCTCTTGTGAATGACTAGACTCTAAATTTGATATAATATTAAAAGAAGG